CAAATTAGCTTACCAGCTAAGTCTTACTTACTACGACATAGAGCCCTTGTAGACAACCAATTATCTAATATTGTTCCACTGGCGAAATCTGAGCGACTGCACTGGATATAGAATGGCTCTGTATAGGGCGAGTTCATTATTTGCGTCAGGGGTTGGTAACCTGCTTGGCTACAAAGAACGGCCCAAAACTTTGTACACCTTCGACGTCCTCGAGAGTCACATCGCAAAGATAATGACTGGCGAAAACTGTGTCGGACCTCCAAAAACATCCTTCCATGATTGCTTTTATTAAACAATTGCTGTGTAAAGCCATGGTAGAGGCTAGCGCCCTGATCTTGTGAGGTTTATTCGCTCTCGGTGGATCCAGATTGGCGATCTCGTAAGCCTGAAGGATGACTGCGCGTAACCATAGAGATATGGTGTTGCAACTACCTTTAGTCTTGGACATAGAAGCGGGTATAAATAACCACTTCTTTAAACAACGCCTAGTCTTGGAGCGGCGGATGAAAATTCACAGTGCCCGCACTAGGCATAGTAGAAGTTCAACCTCATCTTCGCTTCCCAAAATAGTCAATATTGATGGGATGGTGAAGGAACGTTCGGGTTGGCCTGGTAGTTGATTTTTTGCAATAAAATCCCAGCACAACCCGATATGTACCTGTGTGTTCCATGCTCAAAACGAACCCAGTTGATGTTGATCACATGTAGTTTGCTCACCCATGCCGCCGTGGCTAAAGCCAAGAGAAACACTGTTTTCTTGGTGAGGTCATAAAATGAGGATGCATAGAGGGGCTCGAAGGGGAGGGGTCCTCGCCAACATCGAAGTACCACTTGCAAGTCCCAAGCAGGTGGGTGGAACCTGGCCTTCTAATCCACAAACCCAAATGAGCGTAATAGGGCCTGTAGTTCATGTAGTTCCAGGACCTTAGTCATCTTGCCATTTTCCAGAACCCAACACTGAGTTAAGTGCAACTGAGTTAAGTGCCTTGCAAAAAGTTTCAAATGATCCCCACTTGTCATCGTATAAACCTCTAGTAGAGGGAGGGATGATGAGCTAACGTTGTAGCTTTTGCTGCCCACGCCGAATAGCCCTTTGCACTTAACGCCTTTTTAAGACGAACCAAGCGTGCAGACAAAACCTGTCTGGTGTTGGATGAGGCAATTTGCTGTGAGGGTGGATAAATAGGTTGGACCACTGTGGGAGGGGTAGTGGATTGTCTTCTGCTAGATTTCTGAGCTCGATGAACCACCCTCTCGCTGGCCGCCAGGGCGTGACCAAAGTCAGAGCAAAGCTCCTTGTCTCCTTGATCTTTTACATTACCCTGGGGAGTAAAACTGGTGGCAGAAAAGCGTACGCTTTTAGTCCTTCCCAAAGGATGCCCACGCATCCACCACCCAAGCCTGTGGATCCAGTAACGGGGAGACATGTCATGAGTTGGTAATTTTGGCAAGTTGCAAACAGGTCGATGTTTGGTTGCCCGAACTTCTGAAGCAGTAACTGGATTGCTGGAATTAACGCTTCCAACTACAAGTTGTTCATGTGCCACTTTCAATGAGCGCCAGACCATAGCCCTGAGGCTGTCTGGCCTCTCAGGTGAGCATGCCACCCCGGAAGGGAGGCATCTACGAACAGGTGTAGTTACAGGGTAACCCGGAAAAAGAGACTCCTAAGACATTTGACTCTACCGTCCACCAATTGAGGTAAGGCCTTAGATGGATCTGACACCTGATGTAAGGGTTCAGGAATTGTTGAATTGGACGGAATTGTAATTTGGCCTCTGCTGGTTAGATCCTGTGCCGATGTGAGTAACCCTAACAACACTTTCCGTTTGCGAAGTGTGTGTGGTAGATGAAGAGCAGGTGACAGGAGGCGTAAAATCTTGAGCCATCTGTCCCTCGGAACAGATAGGGATCCTGGTCTGTTTGGAACAGGCCTCCTATGAACTGGAGTCGATAGGATGGCGTTAACTCCTTCTTGGCCTTGTTGATTATCCATCCCAGTTGATCCAGTAGTCTTCTGGTGAAATCCTGTTGGCGTACGTCTGCATGTGTTGATGACACAGGAGACAGTTGTCTATGGATGACTCGAACCAAATGTTCCTCAGTTGTAGAAGCGCAGTTATGGGCTTCATTACTCTTGTAAATAGCCACGGGGCCACTGAAATGCCAAATTGGAGTACTGCCCACTGGTAGTGAACCCCATTGAACTGGAATCTGAGGAACCTTCAGTCGGAGGGATGGATAGGTATATGCAGGTATGCATCCCGCTTATTGAGACTGATCAAGGAATCAAACGCCTTTATGCTGGTTAAGAGCAGTCTCAACGTGGTCAGCCGGAAGTAGGGTGCGCGCTTCAGATAATGTTCGTTGAATACAGAGAGATTGTGTATCATTCTCATCTTGCCCAAGTCCTTCTTGGGTGCCAGGAAGATGTAAGAATAAAAGCCTGGTGTTAAAGCTGGAGTGTGTACAATCTATACAGCTCTCTTTAACAACAGAATATCTATATTTGCCTTTAATAGCAGATGTTGCTCTCTTGGATAATTCCAAGGGAGAGGAGCCGTGGTCTACGCCTAGTTGGTAACTGTGACATAGTACGTTGAGAAAGTAATCGTCCATATGGATGCTTTAGTTCTTCCAAAATTGGATAGGAAATTCATCCTTCCTAAACTTGGGTGGCTTAAACGATGGCGTAAGCGTCAGCCTGGAGAAGTTCTCATCCAAAGATCTAATCATATCTGTCATCATCGGGTCGACCGGAATTGATGAGGATGTGTCCATATTGTGTCTTTTTTATCCACCCCGTTACCCGGTGAAGGCACTAAAATGAGGCGATCCACTACCTGATCAGGTACTTGTGCCAGACCAAGATGAGTATTCCATTCTGTCTCTCTCTCTTCACCATTAGAATACTCTGGCAAATCAGAATTACGTGACTGGCTAGATGGTGAACAACTTCTCCTCTGATGTGTAGTGCTACTGCTGACCAAGGGCTTAGACGATCCGCCTGGCGAATAGGAGTCATGCGTCTATGTCCGCACAGGCGTAATGGCACTATTCAATGATGAATGCGCTGTATTATGACGAACAATAGGTGCATTATATATGTTAGGCGCAGGCATGGGTGCTAAGACCTGAGCCATAGATGTAACTGACGCAGGCTTCTGATATATAGGCGTAGACGTGGGAGCAGGATACAATTGTACGCTGATAGCCCTAGGGCTGATGACATTGTAGATGCATTTGGGTAGTAGGCAGGGGCCGAGCTCGGCGCAGGTAAGCGAGACGCAATGCTCAATGGTGTTCGCTGGAACGTGGCTTGCGTTTGTGCTACCCCCATCAAAGCGTCTTGAGACACTGGTGCGACAGGCAGTGATGTGAAGAGGTGACCTCATGTCATCAAGGTCACAGGTCAGCCGTGGTGGTCACGAAAAGAGGGACTACGAACAACAGTTTTACTTCACCCAGGACCATCGCTGTTACGCTGTCCTATCTTTTGTCATAAGTGAATGCATTAAGAGTAATCCAGGATAAATAAAAAATTGTATAAAGAAAGTGCACTTGGTTTTAGATGGCTGGATTTTTCGCAAGTTTGGGGTGGTAACTACTAATTAACTTGCATACTCAACTTTGTCATTTAGCATCAATAGTATGTTTACATGAGTGCAACATCGGTTACTTTTGCTCCTTTTTTCAATAAAAGAGAGAAACATTTCTATAAAATGATCAGCAAAATTGATTAGGACTAATTCACACTGGAATAAAAATCAAATTAAAGGATGACAAACATTTAGTTAAGTCTTTTCTTATAATCTGTCTGTTGTTTCTTCACAAAAATATGATCTTACAAACTAATTTAGAACTATTTTTAAATAATGCATAACCTGAATAAATATTGTGAAATCTATAATATATAGTATCAAGGATAAGAATGTGAAGATTGATTTTGAGGAATATTGGTTTACGTCCATTGGCAAACGATAAATTGATAAAAGCATCTGTAAAGATGTGTGTGATCACATGCTGTTTAGACGATGGTGATAACTGGTACACATGGTACAGTTAGTTCACTTGGAAACACCTGTTTCCACGGCTTTTATTTCTTCTCGACGCGACAATGCAGCAATTGACTTAAACTTTTTCAACGAACAGAAATAAGCGCATTTGCTCATTTTTACAAAAAATCAAAGTAGGAATATTTCAGAAATAACACTGAAAAAATGGCAATAACTTGTCAGTGGCCAGAAGAGAAATGTTCAATTTGGTAATGGCATCATAAATTGCATATGGTTCTGTATCTGCAGCACAAGGTTCTCTGGAGTGGAATTAGTTTAATACGATTATTCAGGTAACCAGCTAATAAACAGTTGCATGGTAAATGGATTGTACACAAATTTCATTCAGTCTAAAATTTATTACTTTTGAACATGTGCATGTTTACTACATGATGTAGGGCATGCTCCCATATTGTGTGTGTTTTGTAGTTCGTTGACGCTTAGATACACACTTATTGTACTAAAAGTCTTCTCTTTCATTCAACACGGCAATAGTCAACACATTTCAACTGCTTGAATATACCTGCTTGACGATTCCTCTATGTAAAGCTGGCTGCTGTCCACTCATGGCTCCTGACTCTCAAGTCGTGACGGCCGAAAAGGAAGTGCGTGAACTTTAATGTCACGTGATTCGATGTTGTTGGTTTCGGTTAAAAATGTCTTGTAATGGAACTTTATGTCGACACCTGAATAGTTATTTGAAAACACAGTGATCCTGACAAATAACAGGTGCACAAGAAGTTAACGATCACCTACTGTGATCTCTATTTATTGGCAAATGCGATTGTCACGTTGATGATGTGGCGTCGGCCATGTACCAGTACCGCGGTGAAAATGAAACAACTGTCTCATCAATTTGACAAAGGATTAAAACATCTGATATTAATATTTAATATCATATCCTACAAATAATGGAAAGTCTCATTAAAAAATGTTAATGATATGTGACTGAAACAATCCCGCAGATAATGTAGCTTCCCAAAAATGGCGGCAGCTCAAAACCAACAACAACAGAGGGGTAAATATCTTGCAAATTAAGGATGCTGGTCCATTACTTTAGATCGCCACTTAATCATTTCCATAAAGCATATGCACATTTTGCATACTGTTTGGTTTCCATATAATTTACCATTCATATCAGACACCTGCGCGTTAACACAGTTTGGTTGCTAATGTAAATCATGCGTGGACATGCTGCATGGCGTGTTTTAATGGTTGCGGCATACAAGGACAGACGACAGGGCGTACATTTGCCATAAACTAACATGAGTTCCGTAACTGCAAACAAATGGAAAAGTTCAATGGTTTTACTGTGAAGTCGAAAACCACAGAAGCTATTCGATCCCTTTCAGACTCCGGTTGCATATTCAGATTCAGGTTGTTGGTTATTTAGGCTCTAAATGTGCAGAATGTAATACTTATCCCCAGAACAGGTTGAGATCTAACTTCCGTGAAAAAGGAAGTCCCAACAGATGTACAGAGACAGCTGGGCGTGAAGGAACTGTCCTCTAATGGGACTCCGCTTGCTGCGGAAGTAACAATCTCATTAAAGTCAGATCTTAGTTCTCACTACGGCAAAACAAAGATCTGAGGAAATCCCAGGCACTGGTTTCAAAATGGCAACTTCCATACCGGACTCGATGCCTCAGACGACTGAAGCTTATGATGTTAACTGACACACATGTTCATCAGTCTGAAAGAAATGTTTTCCACTCAAGTCGAATGAGAAGAGACTTACCGTACAGAAATCTTCCCATGAAGCAATGTGTTTTATTTAATCTGTACACAAAGTTTTGACTTGTTGAAAACCTAAAGAAAACACTGTTCACCAGATCTGAATTTTTGCATAAACGTTGATATTCATGTATACTGAACAGCAACTTCAGAAGCCTTTAGGGCATACTCAATCACAAATGCTTGGCCAAACTTATGTTGACTTTACTTGCCCTTTATGGATGTTAAGCAGATCATCGTTACAGGCTGCCGCTCAGAGTTTGCCAGATACTGTCCTTGTGGCAAAATATATATTCTGAGTGACTGCTTGAATCTTGCTGTTCTTCACTTCAATCTGAATTTCTGATCCTCCATGCATTATGGACTAGTCACTGCTGAGCGTTGGCCAGACATCTCTCATGTGTCACTTATTGTCACAATAGATATTCTGAAGGATTGTTGGGATCTTGTTGCTTTCCACCACAATCTGAATTTCGTCTCCTGAGAGTCACCACAAGTCACTGCTCAGCATGCTCAGTGCTTGCCAGATATTAATTACCCTTGTGGTCTATCACACAATTTCCTAACAAATATTTGTATGAGGTATTGTTGGGCTTTTGTTGCTATATGCTACTACTGTGAAGTTCCAGTCCTCCTGACTTCAGATGTCGGAAGCTGCACAGGTACTTGACCATAAATAGTTTTGGTGAGTAGGAATGTGACAGGTGACCACATAACCCGGCACTGGTTACCAATACCACAAGCTGCAGAGCCTGCCTCCATCTGTGGGATAAGCATTGCAATGTGTTGTGTCAGGATAAGAAATAGTTAACATGAATTTGGATATCCATGATATTGATACTAATCCTTAGATGACTCGGCCCACCCATCCATCATCCCCGGTCTGGATATCAAGCTGAGTACTGATGTGGAAGTAGTGAACATGGTGAAGGGTTCTTTGTTATATATGATCAAAGTTAAGAAGGAAATAGATTTTGACAATGCTCTGTGTCAGGATAAGTATACTAACACCACAAATATCCAAATTCATGTAAAATTTGAATAAAACACTGTTTATACATGAACTGTCATTTTAAGTAAACAATTTACATGCTTTAAATGTTTTAATGATATGAATCTTCATCCCACTGTTGTGGTCAAATGATTTCTTTTCAAAATAAATATATAATATAGCTACAAAACATGTTAGTGTGAACTATGGTTAAGGGTACATTGTTATTTTAGAAATTCAACCTTTTGTCTATCAATCTTTTTTTAGAATTTAAGCAGCTGGAAGATTTACTTCAACCCCAAACACTGAAACAGTACCAACAAACACAAACACAAACAAAGTACAGCAGGGTAACCTTTTCATATATCGCAAGTCCACAATAGATTGTTGAGTAGATTTGATGCCATGATATGACTTTGTAGTGTGTTCATTTGCCTTCTTTGTTCTCTCTTTTTGCAGGTCGAGTCCAGGTGGTTGTATCCTTATCTCAAAGGGAAGAAGAATTGTAGATATTACATGGTTTATGCAAATATGAAGCTAACAGCTAATTATATTATCCACATGATCCAAATTTGTATTAAAAATACTGGTCCAAGACATCATCTTCAAACATGTCAATAACCGTAAGCATGATAGGGGATTTTCATTAGCATTAGCTCACCTTTCTTAAATGTCAAGTGAGCTTATGTCATAACTTGCTTGTCTGGCGTCTGTTGTCATCGGCGTCTGTGTCTGTAATCATCTGCTCCTCAGAAACCACCATGCCAAGGAAGCTGAAACTTCACATACTTCTTCCCACCCATGAGGAAACCTAAATTTGTTTTCAAGGCACAAATCTGATGTTCAATATGGCCGCCATGGCAGCCATAATGAAAAAGCTATTTATAGCTATGAAATAGTTTTGTTCAAAATTTGTGTAGTTTTATTAATGTAGATGTGGGACTCAACAAACATGTTCTCTTTTTTTCAAGATATTTAAAATCATTACCTGTTTTTGACCATTACACTTTGGACTGTTCTTCTAAATTCTCTTAAAATGCATCATCTCATGAGAAACCACAAGACCAGTGAAGCTGAAACTTCACCTGGTTGTATCGACGAATGTACACATCTGAAGTTGTTCAAGAGGGTCAGATCAGATTTTCAATATGCTGCCTTGACAGCTGTATTAAAAAAAACTGTTAATGGCAACTGTTGAACCATTTCTGCTCATTATAGGAATGGCTAGCGATATAGGCATTGGCATTGTTGGTCACAATATTGATCACTGGATTGTCTGGTCCAGACATTATTTACAGCGCACCGTCATAAAGCTGGAATACAGCTGAGTTTGACATCACACAACAAACAAATACACACACACTGTAACATCTCTGAAAGTGGCAGATGAAACTGACCTTTGGCATGTATGTTTCTTCTTGTGATCACATATTTTGTTCAAATCATTTGGATTTTACTGTGTTTTTTGTGAAACAGTTAAGGAAATTGACTGGCATTAAAAAGTGCCTTCTCTACACATAAGAGCCCTACTCACTTGCTCTCTATCTCTTGTGGACTGAATTTTGGGGCTAAACATGGTAAATGACGTTTCTTTACACCTTTTACTGAACCTTATCAGTTTGAAAAAAAGTAAGATGATGTATTAGAAGTGGATTTAGCCTTAACGGGACTCAGAGATCATCCCTGCCATACCAAATACTTCTCTACCTCAATGGATGGTATTTTGCATTTTTCTTCATTGCCGAAATTCTAATCTATGTATTTAAAGGTAAGTTAGTTGAAGTCTTCATTTTATATGATGTGCATTGATACTTTTATTGAAACATATCATAGATATTTTATAAATTCCTGTATAGGGGTAAATTCTTGGTGTATGATGGGATTGAATGTTTAATGCTGATGGGTATTTAATAAAAGTACCATGTCATTTTTGTTTCATTGTTACTGGCGGAAACCACTAGGCAATACAACTGAGATTTGTATGGTAGAAGAGTATCTTGCTACTGGAAAGGTGTGGTCAGTCTAACATTGAAACAATGTTGTAAAGTTTGAAATGTATATGCAACAACATTTATGTGTGATGTTTTTGCAGGTGAGACATTGCCGTATGCCACCAATACACTGGCGGCAGAGGTGATTCTGGTCTTCCTACTGGCTGGAGTCGAGGCACTTCGACTGTTCTTCGGTAAGTACCAGTACCACAATATTATACAAACAGATGAAGGTTGTGATATGTCATTCATTTTGTGCTTGAATATTCTGAAACGAAATTGGTCCATATTTATTTCAAGTTCACAGAATAATTGTTTTCAAATTGCATTCAGTTCGTGTTTATCTTTATTTGTCTTATTATTTCTTGGCACTTCTATCATCAATTGAACTAATATGAAATGTATGAGTAAGTTTTTATTTTATTTTTATGACTCGAACTTTCACAGTTACTTACTGTTAACATGAACAGTACTAAAGGCCAATTGTCAGCATTGTTACAGTTTCACTATCCATCTTTTGCTCTGGTTATTTTTAACCAATTAGTAAATGACAATTATGGAGTACTATAGGCTCATTTGTTTGAGTCCAGACTTCTGCCAAGAAACTGAAAAAGTGGGGACAGGGACCCCTTCAGCATACATGCATGGGGTCATTTTTAAAACTTATGGGATCACACTCTGAGAGATCATATAAAACTGAAAACCCTATGGTATGCAGGTTAATGATGCAGGATCGCCCTCTACAAGTAACGTTAGCAATACACAAAACTTTTGCATTGCATCTTTTTCAGATATTATGTATTGCAACAACAACAACAACAACGTCCGATTTCATATATAATTAGCCTCAACAGTTTGTGATCACTCTTCAAGGCATATTTGTACTTGTTATAAATTATAATGTAGTTTGTCATTGAATTAGATTTCACATGATTTATACAAAGCTGGCATGTCATAGTATTCCTTTCTGAGTTATGCTGCAACCACTTGTGGTCACAAACCAGGTTTGCTGAAAATGTCAATCTCATAAAAATCAGATCTGAGTTCTCGCTGCCGCTAAACAAAGATCTGAGGACATCACATTACGGGTCACGTCAGAACGATCTTTCGCTAACTTTGACCGACCACTGAAATGACCAACAAGAAGTCGACATCAGCCAATTAGAAAGCAGCTTTCTCGAGCTTTCTGGCACTCGTTTCAACCTGGCGACATCCATTTCAGACTATGCTTGAAAAATATGTTGACACAGTTCTCGATTAAAATTTTGAAAACTGAACAAACGAACATTCCGGAATGTCTAATATATGGTTGAGATTGTATAGCAATGCTTCCTACATCCTGTTCAACACCTCCTCCGTTCAAATGTTTATCCCACTGAAGTGAGAGATAGACGATAAGTTTGACGAAATCAGTCGTACGGGTTGTAACTGTTGTTCGGAATACCCTGTGTTGACGTTTTAGAGGTTGCATGATTAGAAAACACCTTCTGATTGTCACCTTCATGATCTGGTAAGTGACGCTCTGATTGGTCGGATGAAAGGTCGTTCTGACGTGACCCGTAATGGGATGTCCTCAGATCTTTGTTTAGCGATAGCGATTTTAATGAGATTGCTGAAAATGTCTACCTCTCTCTGTTGTTCTACCTTCCCTCCATCTGTCACCATGGTGAGCCATTCTGTGTATCCCTAACATAACTTGTGGTCGGTGATTCTGCGATACCGAGGGGATTTGAAGCAGAAAAATCTTTGGCACTATCAGAACTATGACTACTATATTTCCAAAAATGTGTGAACTTGATTTAGATTGGTCAATTTGTGGCTTTGAGCCAATGAAAGATGCTTATTGTAAATTGAGACCCATAAGGCAACGAAAATCAGAACATTTACATTCAATGATAGAAGCAGCAGTCCTGTGATGTACACTGTTTTTGAGTAAGATAAACAACCCATGTACATGAACATGATGAATGCACCCCTTGTTCCACTGAAAGTAACTATCATGCACAGAATTCTTCTACCATGTCTACAGCTCTTTGGGTTATATATTTTTCTTCTTGGTTTGGGCAAATTGACAGTGTAAACTAGAGTTCTTCTACATCAGTAACTTGATAAGGGGAGGCCACACTCGAACCATACCTGTTACATGTGTCTCGAAACACTGCACACTAAGTTTATGGCAAGTTATTGATGTGTTGAACAGACATTCCGGTTCTTACATCTGATAGTTTGGCTGGGCCTACGTGTTCTGGTCCAGCACATGCCTGGATGTCGGAATGTTCTGGCAGACATGGAATGGAAGCTTAGTCTTGGGGTTTTTCATCTTATGTGTCCATTCTTCCAGCTAGTTGATCAACTGGCGCTCCATCTTCCTGAGGCAAGGGTGTTGACCATGTAAGTCCAGTTTCCACTAGGGCTGGTTATCGATATGGATTACTCAGATCGATTATTGGTAGTCACATATCGATCAATAATCGATAAATATCGAAGAATTCTATTTTGGTAAAATGACATTACAGAAAAATGGCAATTCACTTCTTCGGAGACTCAGTGTTTCAACATTTTCGCATTTTTAGCGATGAACAATCTGAGTTTAAGATTCATGTCGTCAAAGACAATTATTATTTGTATAAAGTGAGAATAATTGAGAAATTAAATGTAATTTCACCTGATATAGTCGTTTGTCATTTATGTACAGTATTCACGAAACTATTCTGATAAAAAATTATCAAATATTCCGCCATTGTGAATGTCAGGTCTGTACAGGTGTGTGCTATGTAGTAGGTTGTACTAGGTTCACAGGTGTGATACGTAATAGGTCAGGTGAGTGCTACGTCATTGTTTTCGTGGTGGGGCACAGATTGGGTTACAGACTGATATTAAACAAACATCGTGCGATTATAACGCTGTAAGTTTGTATACCCTTGTAATAATGTAGTAATGATCGTCTCAGCACTAATGTGTTACGAAACTTTCTCATGATTACTATATATTGATTAGTCTAATAGTCTTAAGTCATGAAATAAAAAAAAATGAAGAATGCACTTTTAAAATAACTTTATAAACGTTTAGTTGGAATAGCTCCAATCGGCAATCGGTGTCAGTCACCAACTTTGAGAAACAATCAAACTATGAACTTTAAAATGCGTAATATCAATTCATTTTGTAAATGTATAAAATATAAAGAACTAGTATTAAATTTAACATCAATTCATTTTGTAAATGCAAAAAAATAAAATACCTAACAGCAATTCATTTTTCATGTTTTTGACTTTAGTGAATGTACCGCTAAATATCAAAACGCTAACACTTGAAAACTTATTTGTATCTGACAAGGTCACCTGCCTCAAATATGACAAATAGTAATGAGTTCATTTGGTATTGAACATGAAAATCATCACTGATCAAAGACCTTTTTAAGGTTTTTGTTCAAGAATATCAGCTTATCGACATTGTCTGTTTTCAAGCTGCTTCGTTGTTTATTAACAACAAGTCCCGCGGCGCTGAAAACCCGCTCACTGGGGACGGATGTGGCAGGGATGGAGAGATAACGCTTGGCTAGCACTACCAGTGCTGGATATGCCACTTCCTTCATCTTCCACCATTCCAGGGCAGACATGTCCCCAGATAGCCGTGATTCCTTCAGAAACCTACATATCTCCTCTCTTGCCCGTTGATTATGATCTACAGCAACTTTCTCCACTCCTGTGACAATGACATCTGAGAACCAGTCGTCAACTCCAAGTGACTTCCAATTATGCTGTCAGATTTAGTCTTGATCCTTTTCACGGGTGGCTCAGTCTCAACTGTCACCCCAGACTTGCTTGAATCTGTACTATCTGCAGTATCTGGTACGTTGGGAAAATCTGGCAATCGGGGCAAGTCGGGAAGGGCTGGTTCGCTCTCAGCTAAGTCAGCTTTCTCCTGCTTTATGCTCAAACGCATTGGTGTTTCTGATAACTTGCAATGTACTTCTGTCCCTTCTCTTTATAGCTGATCCTCTGCTGCAGATTTTTCATCCTCAGTGATACAAGGTATCCCATTGTATCGTGGATCCAGCAGCGTTGACGCTACGAGTGTTTCTCTGAGTTTGTTTTTGGTGTAACGTTTGGACAAGTTAGCTGAAATTGCCGATTTAACAGCTTTAACAAGCCCACTGTCCCCATCTTTGACAGTCAAATGAACCCTAAGCTTGTGCATCATTGGCAAAACCATGGAAACACTCGGCAGAGTAGCGTCACACAGAAGGGTTGTAGCTTGCTTTAATGGCTGCAAGACACGGATAAGATGTTCTGCTTGGTCCTGTTCGGAGGGATCTAAAACCAGGCCACGTGCGTCTTTCTTAAGACTTTGATCAGTGAACGCAGCATGGATTGCTGCAGTTTGCTCCAGCAAACACGTTAGCATATCGTATGTATTGTTCCAACGCGTTTCGACGTCTTGAATAAGATTGTAAAGTGGTAGTTGCAATAACTCCTGTTTGGAATGTAAGACATTTGTGGCCAGCGGACTTCTTTTGAAATAACCAACGAGGTGTCTGCAGCGAGATTGCAGTTTGCTGAGACTAGCATTTGCTTTCATACCCTCCTTTGCTGCTAAGTTCAAAGTATGGGCGACGCAAGGAATGTGTATTGTGTTTTCAAACATGCCAATGGCTTTAACAACATTTGCTGCATTGTCTGAGACAATAGTGAAGGGATCGAATCCCCTATCTGCAACGGATGTTTTCAAAGCCTCATGCAAGTGTTCAGCTGTGTGACTACCGGGTAACTCGTGTGTCTGGAGTACGTAGTTGACAATTTTCCAATCATGTATGAAATGTGCAGTTATTGTCATGTAAGATTCCGTCGCTGATGATGTCCAGCAGTCAGTTGTTGTAGACACATCAAACGCCACCCTCAACTGCATCTCAACCATTTTTCTGGTATCATGGTACATTTTTGGTATAATCTTGTCCTTGAAATAACTACGAGAAGGCATTTCATCGCTCGGCTTTGAAACCTTTAGAATCTTATTGAATGACTGGGACTCCACAATGGAGACCAACCTCATGTCGAGCACGATATGTTCAGCTATTGCATTTGTAATGGATTCAGCTTTGGGGCTGTGCATAGTCAATTTTACTGCACTAACATTTGGGGAAATACACTGTTGTATAGTTGGTTGCCATTTCTGAACTGTTTTTGAACCATGATAC